ACTTGCCTACCTTACTTCCTGCCTTTCTACTGCTTACAGCAGTACTTTCACTAGTTGAATACTTTGCTTCCACAACCTACCTCTTTGGTCACAACTTAACCTTTTGAAGGTCGCTAATGCAGTCCTTGACAACTAGAAGGTTCCACAGCGTGGTTACTACGGTTAGGAATGGGACAATGATAGGGACGCTAAGACGAGGGAGTATCCGCACCGGCAACGCATGTTCAAGAGATAGATATATACACGGCAGGCGCGGATGGAAAGGAATATTTATATGCCATACCCCTGTTCAGTGACGTGACCTTGGGCGGGATCTGACATGTTGACGGCTGCGATACATCGGGCATATGTAGTAGCGTTGATAGGACACATAGACAAAGTCAATGATCTTGACAAACAGCTTGTACACAAGCACAAGCTATTGACAGCCAATATATAAGCTTCCCAAGCCTTGAACGGGAAACTACGCTATAGCTAGCCTGTTAAGCCCCAGTGGCCTGTCGAACAGCACAGGACCCTTCTTAGGGCTTGCGAATCGACGCTGACGTCTAAACTTGACGGGCTTGTGGCTTCAAACCTCACCAAGACATGCCAGAGCAGCTGCAACTCTACGCTGTCGATTGCCTCTTTAGCCGCATTCTTGATGCTGCTTGGGATGCTCTTGCTGAACATGATAACAGTCGGCTTGAGGATCCCCGTGGAGCTGGACAGCTTCCACGATCCTTCATGGTCGACCTCAACGACTGCCTTGCTCCTGTCTGGGAGGACTGGTGGATTAGCCAGACCGCTTGGGCAAGCTAGGTACTGGAACGTCGTGTATGGTGCGTTGGGCAGATTGACATCTCTATCTGGGTTTGACCAAATGCTGTGCTGCCTCTTGTCACGAGGATCGTTGGTATCCAAGGCTCCCAAGGCCACAGCTTCTGCTAGGAAGGCAGCCTATGTTGGGTCGAGCCAGGCAAGATCGTCCTAGAAGGTGTCCCGCGGGAACTCCTTCCGCCAGCCGCCTGATCTAGACGTTTAGCGTGCATGGCTACAAAGTCCTTTCGCTAGCCGTGGCGACCGACAACGCACGCTTTGTTAGCGTCAGAAAACCAGCCTGTTGTTTGGAAAGGCGTGCAAAGAGTTGTAGATATCATTGCCTTTGCTCTCTAGACGCAGCAGGCAAGCCTGGCAGGGTGGCTGTTAGGGACAGACGGCGGACGAAGGCTGAGATCTAGACCTTTAATAGAGTGGCGCTTGCGTAGACTTTGTTCTAGCAATGAGACAACTTATGTTGTCTACAGCAGCTTTTGTTTTTTTTTGTCTCACTAGGTTATAAGCTAGGATTATAGTCCATTGCTATTAGAACATAGTTTGCGACATTAAAAAGATTAAACATTAAAAAGGTTAGAGATTAAAAAGATTAGACATTAGAAACAATAAATTGTAAATAAATTAAATGCTAAAAAATTAAACATTAAACATATTAAACGTTAAACAAATTAAATATAAAGATTACTTGATAATCTAACTTCAAACCTATGTATTAAGGTAACCACAATGGTGATGACTAAGCGGTTTGCTGATTAAGCATCACATATGACTTATTTATAAGCCTACAAAGTAGCTAAGTCACATGATAGCTCCTTACCTTATAATTGGCATTTGAAGTCCAAAGGATTTTCCTGCCAAAGGCAACCCTAACCCTAAGGACAGGGTAGCCTAGCAAGTCCAGGGTAGCCTGGCAAGTCTAGGGTAGCCTTGCAAGTCTAGGGTATTGCAAGTACAAGGTAGGTGTAGAAAATCAAACCACCTAAAACCTTTAAACCTTGTCAAACCACTTAATACGTATCACCACCTTGTAAGTATATGATCTACATATTACTACTGATTTAAACAATCAGATCCTACAGACCTAGTCTGATCAGCCAATCCAAGGTATCAAGTTGTTTGATCTAGTAGATTAAGTAAAGCAAGAAGACTGAATTTCTACTATATAGTCAGCTAGAATAGCCGCTTGACTTTAAAGTTAAAATAATCATCAACTACACAATACAACCAGTCTTCTACACCTTACTTGCCTACTTTACTTCCTGCCTTACTATAAAGATTACTTGATAATCTAACTTCAAACCTATATATTAAGGTAACCACAATAGTGATGACTAAGCGGTTTGCTGATTAAGCATCACATATGACTTATTTATAAACCTACAAAGTAGCTAAGTCATATGATTAATCTTTACCTTATAATTAGCATTTAAAGTTCAAAGGACTTTCCTGCCAAAGGCAACCCTAACCTTAAGGACAGGGTAGCCCTGCAAGTCTAGGGTAGCCCTGCAAGTCTAGGGTAGCCTGGCAAGTCCAGGGTAGCCTGGCAAGTCCAGGGTAGCCCGGCAAGTCTAGGGTAGCCTTGCAAGTACAGAGTAGGTGCAGAAAATCAAACCACCTAAAACCTTCAAACCCTGCCAAACCACTTGATACGTATCACCACCTTGTAAGTGCGTGATCTACGTATTACTACTGATTCAAACAATCGGATCCTACAGACCCGGTCTGATCAGCCGATCCGAGGTATCAAGTTGTTTGATCTAGTAGATCAAGTAAAGCAAGAAGACTGAATTTCTACTATAT